TTTTGTTGTTGAGGTTTTGCAGTATCATGTAGATTTTAGAGATCAGACCCTGAATGGATTTGACATAGCCAAAATTTTTTCTCAGTCTGTAGGTTCTCTTTTGGTGAAGTCTTATGATCAGCATAAGTGTTTGATTTTTAGGAGCCCCCAATTTTCTACTTCCTCTTCTGGTGTTTGTGCATTGTTACTTATGGTTTGTATTCTGCTTATGCCATATATCAGGGCTCCTAGCATTGTCCCTATTTTTTCTTCCATGATCTTTATCGTTTTAGATTTTATATTTAGGTCTCTGATCCATTTTGAGTTAGCTTTTGTGCATGGTGTGAGCTACGGGTCTTGTTTCAATTTGTTGCAGATGGGTATCCAGTTATGCCAGCACCATTTGTTAAAGAGACTGTCTTTCCCCCATTTAATGGACTTTGGGCCTTTGTCAAATATCAGCTACTCATAGGTGGATGAATTTATGTCTGGATTCTCAAACCTGTTTCATTGGTCTATGTATCTGTTGCTGTACCACTACCAGGTTGTTTGGCTACTATGGCGGTATAATAGGTACTAAAATCAGGTAGTGTGAGGTGCCTCCCACTTTGTTCTTCTTCTTCGGTAATGCTTTACTTATCCAGGGCCTCTTCCGTTTCCATTTGAAGTTGGTGATTTGTTTCTCCTTCTCATTAAAAAATGCCATTGGAATTTGGATTGGGATTGCATTGTATCTGTTTGTTTAATTTCTTGACTGTTGCGTCCATGGACATTGATTGTTGATCCAAGAAGAATGAAATTCTTGACAACTTCTATTTCTTTACCATTTATCATGATGTTGTTTATTGGTTCAGGTGTAAAGATTTTTTCTTTACGTTGAGGTATAATCCATGAAGAAGGCTACAGTCTTTTACTTTGATCAGTAAGTGCTTCAAGTCATCTTCATTTTCAGTAAGCAAGATTGTGTCATATCAACAACAACAAATTAAAAAAAAAAAAAGACTGTGTCTCTGCATATCTCAGGTTGCTAATAAGTCTTCTCTCAATCCTGATGCCATGTTCTTATTCATATAGCCTAGCTTCTTGGATTATTTGTTATAGATTATTTTTTCAGCATATGGAAAAAGGGGATCTCACGTATGTAATACAGATTAAAATCAGAGACCACAACAAACTATTGTAAATATATTTGAAAACTTATACTAAAATGATAAATTTCCAGAAATGTATAATTTACCAAAACTGACTCAAGAAAAAAATTTAGATGATCCTATAATCGTTACAAAAATTGAATCAATAGTTAAACATATTCCTACCAAGAAAACACAAAACCCAAATGGTTTTGCAGGCAAGTTCTACCAAACTTTCAAGAAATAGATTATTCCAATCTTATATATACTTCCAGAAACTAGCTAAAGAGGGAAAATTTCCCCAAATGATTATAGAAAGAAGGTATAACGTTGATACAAAAACCAAGCAAGATAGTATGAGAAAGAAAAGTATAGCACAATCTCATTCATGAAAATAGATTTAAAAATCCAAAACAAAACATTAGTAAACCTAATCCAGCAATCTATAAAGAAGATAATACATCATGACCAGATTCAGTGTATCCCAGTAATGCAAGAGTGGTTTAACACAAGAAAAATCTATGTACGTCATTGTCCACATCAAAGATCAAAGAAGAAATACATATGATTATCTCAGTAAATAAATTAACAAATATTCACTGATCTAGCACAATGTATCAGGTACTATCCTAGATACTAGGGCACACAAAAATCTCTGCTCTTTTAGAGCTTACTTTCTCCTAGTAAAAAATAGAATAGAGGAGAGTTCCTTAAGAAGATATTCTCCAGAAACTTTAACAAACATTCTCAAAGAAGAAATATTAGAAATATTCCCTTTAAAATCAGGAACAAGACAAGAATGCCCATTAACTGTTTGTATTCAACAGTGCGCTGGAGGTTCTAGCTATTGCAGTAAGGCAAGGAAAAAAATACAAGTTAGAACAACTGAAAAAAATAAAGAAAGGGTCTCCATTTTCAGTTACTTATATTTATAAAGAATCTACATAAAGAATTTATATATCTATATATGATACATAAGAATTTACGTATCTTAAAGAATTCATCAGAATATACAGGCAGATTATTGTAATAGTTTGTAGGTGGGACGGTTAATAGTACAAACTACTTTGGTTACAAATTGGTAATACTTTAAAAAGTTGAATATTCACATACGCTATAATGAAGAAATCACATTATAAGTATATCCTAGTTTTCAAGTTAAGGAGCCTTAGTGGCGCAGTAAAAACCCATTGCCGTAGAGTCGATTTCGACTCAGAGCAGCCCTATAGAAAGAGTAGAACTGCCCCACAGGGTTTCCAAGGAGCAGTTGGTGGATTCAAACTGCCAACTTTTTGGTTAGCAGCTGAGCTCTTAACCACTATGTCACCAGACCTCACCAGATGGAATACACAGGAATCAAATCGACTACGTCTGTGGAAAGAGACCATAGAAAAGCTCAATATCATTAGTCAGAACAAAGCCAGGGGCTGATTGTGGAACAGACTATCAATTGCTCATATGTAAGCTCAAGACGAAGATGAAGAAAATTAGAACAAGTCCACAAGAACCAAAGTGCAATCTTGAGTATATCCCACCTGAATTTAGAGATTATCTCAAGAATAGATTTGATGCATTGAACAGTAATGACCAAAGACCAGACAAGTTGACATCAAGGACATCATACATGAAGAAACTAAAAGGTCATTAAAAAGACAGAAAAAGAAAGAAAAGATCAAAATGGCTGTTTGAAGAGATTTTGAAACTTGCTCTTGAACATAGAGTAGCTAAAGCAAAAGGAATGATGAAATAAAAGAGCTCAACAGAAGATTTCAGAGGCTGGCTTGAGAAGACAAAGTTAAGTATTACAATGAAACATGCAAAGACCAGGAGTTAGAAAAACAAAAGGGAAGAACAGGCTCTGCATTTCCCAAGCAGAAAGAACTGAAGAAAAAATTCAAGCCTCAGTCGCAACATTGAAGGATTGTAGGGGAAAATACTAGACGATGCAGGAAGCATCAAAAGAAGATGGAAGGAATACACAGAATCACTCTACCAAAAAGAATTGGTCTACATTCAACCATTTCAGGAGGTAGCATATGATCTAGAACAAATGGTACTGAAGGAAGAGGTCCAAGCTGCACTGACGGCACTGGCGAAAAACAAGCTTCCAGGAATTGACAGGATATCAACTGAGATGTTTCCACAAATGAATGTAGCACTGGAAGTGCTCGCTCGGCTATGCTAAGAAATCTGGAAGACAGCTACCTGGCCAACCGACTGGAAGAGATCCATTTGTGCTCATTCCAAAGAAAGGTGATCCAACAGAATGAGGAAATTATCAAACAATATCATTAATATCATATGCAACTAAAATTTTGCTGAAGATTATTCAAAAGTGGTGGCAGCAGTACATCGACAAGGAACTGCCAGAAATTCAAGCCTGATTCAGAAGAGGACGTGGAACAAGGGATATCATTGTTGATGTCAGATGGATCATGGCTGAAAGTAGAGAATACCAGAAAGATGTTTACCTGTGTTTTACTGACTATGCAAAGGCATTCGACTGTGTGGATTGTAACAAATTATGGATAACATTGTGAAGAATGGGAATTCCAGAACACTTAATTGTGCTCATGAGGAACCTGTATTTAGACCCAGAGGTGTCATTTGAACAGAACAAGGGGATACTGTGTGGTTTGAAGTCAAGAAAGATGTGTGTCAGGGTTCTATCCTTTCACCATACTTATTCAATCTGTATGCTGATCAAATAATCTGAGAGGCTGGACTATACGAAGAAGAATGCAGCATCAGGATTGGGGGAAGACTAATTAACAACTTGCAATTTGCAGATGATGAACCTTGCTGACTGAAAGTGAAGATAACTGAAACACTTACTGATGAAGATCAAAGACCACAGCCTTCAGTATGGATTACACCTCCACATAAAGAAAACAAAAATCCTCACAACTGGACCAATAAGCAACATCATGATAAACAGAGAAAATATTGAAGTTGTTAAGGATTTCATTTTACTTGGATCCACAATCAACACCCATGGAAGCAGTAGTCAGGAAATCAAATGATACATTGCACTGGGCAAATCTGCTGCAAAAAATCTCTTTAAAGTGTTAGAAAGCAAAGATGTCACTTGAAGGACTAAGGTGTGCCCGACCCAAGCCATGGTGTTTTCAATTGCCTCATATGCATGGGAAAGCTGGGCAATGAATAAAGAAGATCGAAGAAGAACTGATGCTTTTGAATTATGGTGTTGGCGAAGAATATTGAATATACCATGGACTGCCAAAAGAAGGAACAAATCTGTCCTGGGCAAAGTACAACCAGGATGCTCCTTAGAAGCAAGGACGGTGAGGCTACATCTCACATACTCTGGACGTGTTATCAGGAGGGACCAGTCTCTGGAGAAGTACATCATGCTTGGTAAAGTAGAGGGTCATCGAAAAAGAGGAGGACTTTCAACAAGATGGATTGACTCAGTGGCCGCAACTATGGGCTCAAGCATAAGAATGATTGTAAAGTTGGCTCAGGAGTCAGTAATGTTTCATTCTGTGGTACCTAGGGTCACTATGAGTCAGAGCTGACTTGATGGCACCTAAAGGTATGATAGCATTTTTATAGTGGTCAAAACCAAGCAAAATGAAAGAGTATGTTGTTATTATACATGGGATAAAACTATATTTTTAAAAAGGAGAATAAGCAACATAAACTTCAGGGTAGTTTTACCTCAAAGAGTGGGAATGCAGGGTGATGGGATAGGAAGGAACCACAGTTTGATGTAATGATATTGGAAATACCATTATTTGTTATTTGTTGATTGATGGACTGAAGCATATTAGTACTGTGTTAATGAATTTATGTATTAATTGAAAAGACGAGATGATAAATATCATTAAAGAATTAGGATGTTAATCTTTACAGTAACTTTCAACTTGCCTATGACTGCTTTCACGTCATCCATCACCTTTTTCAGAGGAACCTTTCCATTAGCTGTAATACAAAGCATAAAAAAACTCAGACAGTGACACAGAACTTAGAAAAATTGTGAATGAGTGCCCAATGAAATTCTATTTATTTTACTGGAGATTATTTGCGTTCACTTTAAATGTATATTTCCTGGATTTAGTGCTTGATTCTTTATTAGTAAGAGAGATCACAGTATTTGGCCCATGTCTCTTGAACACAGGGTCTGACCAATAACATTTGTACTAGTTTCCAGTTCTTGGGTCTTACAGATACTTTCTTAAAAGTATGGTAAAAGACACCATTAATGAAGGTCAGTTCTTTTTTTGAGTGAACCTTATATCTGCCTCGGATACTGAGCTATGGGCTTTGCATCATTCATCTATTCCCAATATGCTTTTCTCTAATGTCTTCAACTTCTGTATCTATCTCAAAATGCTGGTGACATGTGGTTGTTAGCTACTTGAGGAAATATTAAGTTTCTACTATGCTCTATTATGTATATTTTCCTCTCAATCATTTCTGGCTCTCTTAGTTACTCACTCACTCATCCCATCCCCTCCCTTGTTTGTTTCTCCCTATCATTCTCTGGCCTGTTAGCAGTTGTGAATGCCACCTCAGTATTACTCAAACAAGATGAAAATGTCAGATAAATACTAATGACACAAGACAGCATTTCTTTTTACTCTAAGACCAAGTTATTCTCTTAAAAATGTCTTAAAGTCCTCAAATCAATCTAGTTTTAGAAATTCTTATACATGATCCCAAGATTCTAAATTCTCCCCTAAAGGGCACAGTGGTTATTTACAACGCTCACCATCAATAAGCTGATTTTGTATCACACTTTTAAGTTCCTTATTTTTGAGCTTGATCCCCATGTTTCCCAGGATTGTGTTCAGGTTATTGACATCAACTTTTCCTCCTTAAAAAAGACAGAAATGTGAGAAAAACCCAATAAAGACACAATGTGAAAATACTCATCTTGATGAGTTAAATAAACCCTCTCAGTAGGCCTGGCTGCCGGTGAAAGTATTAATTGGAATTACCTTATTGGAAAGTGGTATGACAATAACTATTAGGATACTTTAAAATATTCATAACTCTTAACACACTAACTCTACTTTTGGGAGTGCAGAGAAAGATTATGCCAAAAAACATGTTCATTATAGTCTTACTTATAATAAAGAAAAAACACACCCAGAAAAATGCATAAAATTTAATTATCTAACAACAGGGTTATTGCTAAGTAAAGCAAAACATTTTAATGCCACAGAAAATTACATAGCCCTTACAAAAGATGGTTACCACACCAAAAAATGTTTTTTATATACCCAGTAAAAATAAAGAGACATAAAATGAGCAATATAAACAATGCATGTAATTCTCTCTGCCATTCCACCGATAGCAAGCACATAAAAAAAGAGTGAACCTGAGATAGACAATATCAATTTACAGTCATCAGATGGACTCATTTCCCTATACCTGTCATACTGTAGTGTCTAAACTCAATGTGTTTCTAGTATTAGATATATTTCTGTATAACATGGCTCTTATGAAAGTTAACTACTTCATCCAATTGCTCAACTACAGAAATATCAATCTATTCTAACATAGAGGAAAACGTGACTATGTTGGACTTATCAACGCTAGTATACGGGTCTCTTTTATGGAGACTTTCATGGGATTTTCAGAGCAATTGTGACTATATAAGATACTTCATTATTTTTAACTATAAAGGGCTTCAAAATATTGAGTTGTTGTGATTGGATAGTAGTTTTTTTTTTTAATCCAGATATTATATTTAATGTGCATGTGACACTTTTTTTAATAAAAAATAAAGAAAATTAACTATTCCCAGCTGAGCATTATGATGGTTACTTTCAGCACTATGAAGGCCAGTACTCTAATTAGACCTGTCCAAGAGTACACAGAAAGACAACTGTGGAGATACTTAAGACTGGTTCCTTTGAGTCTGCTTCTAGGACCAAGTCTACGTAGTACAAGGGTAATATATGCTTATTGTAAGAAATTGAAATAATATTGAAATAAATTAAGTAAAATGTGAAGAACTTCATATCTAATCCCTTCCTAGTTTTACTTACTAAAGGTAATCACTGTTAACATTCTGATAAGTATCCTTCCAGATATTTTCCTAAACACACACACACACACACATTTTCTTTAAAAGAATGTGTAATAATAGCTGAGTGAAATTAGTCGCAAAAGGACAAATATTGTATAAGACCACTATTACAAGAACTCAAGAAAAGGTTTAAACACAGAAGAAAACATTCATTGATGGTTATGAGGGTGGGGAGGGAGAGAGACAGGTATTCACTAACTAGATAGTAGACAAGATTTATCTAAGGTGAAGGGAAGGACAACACACAATACAGGGGAAATCAGCACAACTTGACTAAACCAAAAGCTAAAAAGTTTCCTGAACACAACCAAACACTTCGAGGGACAGTGTAGGAGGGGTAGGGGCTTGGGGACCATGGTTTTGGGGGACATCTAGGTCAATTGGCATAACAAAGTTTATTAAGAAAATGTTCTGCATCCCACTTTGGTGAGTGGCACCTGGGACTTTAAAAGCTAGCAAGCAGCCATCTAAGATGCATCACTTGGTCCCAACCCACCCGGAGCAAAGGAGATGAAGAACACCAAAAACACAAGGAAAATATTAGCCCAAGAGACAAAAGGGCCTCATAAACCAGAGACTCCATCGGCCTGAGACCAGAAGAACTAGAGGGTGCCCAGCTACCACCAATTACTGCCCTGACAGGGAACACAACAGAGAGTCCCTGACGGAGCAAGAGGAAACTGGGGTGCAGAACTCAAATTCACATAAAAAGACCAGATTTAATGGTCTGACTGAGACGAGAGGAACCCCAGAAGACATGGCCTCCAGACTCTCTGTTAACCCAGAACTAAAGCCATTCCAAAGGCCAACTCTTCAGACAAAGATTAGACTGGACTATAAAATATAAAATAATACTCGTGAAGAGTGTGCTTCTTAGTTCAAGCAGATACATGAGACCAAACGGGCAGCTCCTGTCCAGAGGTGGGATGAGAAGGCAGAAAGGGATAGGAGCTGGTTGAATGGGCACGGGAAAGCCGGAGTGGAAAGGGGGAGTGTGCTGTCACATTATAGGGATTTGCAACAAGGGTCACATAACAATATGTGTATACACTTTTGTATGAGCAACTAACTTGAGCTGTAAACTTCCACCTAAAGCACAATTAAAAAAAGAAAAGTAATAATACCAAGCATTTTTATGCCACTTGCTTTTTTTACTTAACATATTGTGGACATATTTTTTATTTTGATGGTACAAAGTTTTAAAGACAGTTGAGCAGTCCCCTAGTGAATGATAGCAGTGGAGAAGATTAATGTAATATATATATTTTTTATTGTACTTCAGGTGAAGGCTTACAGAACAAATAGTTTCTCATGAAACAGTAGTACATATACTGTTTTATGACATTGGTTAACAACCCCACAACATATTAACCCTCTAACTTCTCAACTTTTTTTTTTGGTGAAAATA